GGGGGGGGTGCGGCTCTCGCCATTGTACGCACCCCCAAAGGGAGGCATGTGCCCCCCCGATGTATGCACGGGATGAGGGTGGGCTGCCCACTACAGGCTTGAGACCGGGGCTGCTCCAGCCTCTTCCTTGTGACTGCGCTTGGGCTGGGTGGGGTGGGTGGCGGAGGTGCTGAGAAGGAGGCTATGGCGAATTTTGGGGTGGCTGTAACCCCCCCCATAGTCCTCCCCCCAGTGCCGCTGCCACCAGCCCCAACCACAGCTGCCAGGAAGAGGCTGGAGCAGTCCCAGCCCCAGCCTGCAGTGGCAACCTGCCCTTGCCCCATGCACAGATCCGAGGGGGCACATGCCCTGCATGCCTCCCCTGGGGGTTTGCGCAGCTCTGTCCTGCACCCTGCCCCACCCCAGCTGGGCAGCACCTGCCTCTGCCTCAGTCTCAGCCCCAGCCCCACTCCCCCCTTCACTGGAGGGGCCTCGATCTGCTACCCCCAACCCCCAGCACCACCCCTTCCCCCCAGACTTACTGGCCAGACATTTCTCTCCAAGCTGCCGGGATGCACTCCTGACCACGTGCATGCTGTGGCTGCGTGCGTGCACGCAGCATTTATTGCCGACATTAGCAACCACATTAGCCAAAAAAAGCCATTTGCCAATAATGTCAATTTTCCTTTTATCAGTGCAAATACAATATGGATCAATGTATCAGTGCACCTCTAGTGGTCCTCATGTGATGCCAGCTTATTTCAGTTCCTACATAATTATATATGACATCTGAACTGTAAATGTTTGCAGAGCACTTGGAGATACTTAGACATTAGTCTCTCGAATAGTGCAGAAGATATATGTAAGAAGATAGGAACAACAATAAGAGTAGTGAAGAAGTTGGAGCTAATCAAAATTAATTAGGAGGGTGCAAAGTCTCTTCTGTTTTGTGTGGGGGCCTTCTGAATTAGTTATAGCCCTGTAACTCAAAGCACTGTACTAGTTAGTGCCTCTTGCGTGGAGAAAAGATGGGTGTGTGTCTGCCCTCTGCCCCAGACCTTTAGTCTGGCAGGATAAAATAAGAATCTTAAATCTACTTGCGCTCTTAAGTTGAACAGCCACTAGTAAATTCTGCTGCCAGGAGAGCACAGGGGTGCCATCTGGGTGACTTGTGCTCATTTAAAATGTGTTGCTTGTTCTGCCCAGAGTTCAGCTGAACACTGCACAAACTGGGATGTGCCAGATGTGGATTTTCCATCACATATTTTTTGATGAAGGTTAACTATCAGCTCCTTGCATGTTCCTGATCTACTAGAGGCAGAAGGAAAAATAAATTAGCTTTTGCTCTTTCATTAATATCCCCTTTAACCCTCATCACCTTGGTAATGATGGTTTTCTTTTCTTTTCTTTTTTTTTTTTGCCTTCGGTTGGATACCTGAAAGCTGACTTAGTGAGAAAAGCCTTGTATTCCCTCTCTCTTCTGTCTTCTTTTGGCCCCCTGCTTTTGGAAACACAAGTTCCTAAAAACCATTAACCATAGCAACTGCTTTAGCCTGAATCTCCTCTAACTGTTTTTTTTTTTTCTAGTACGTGCTGGGTTGTTCCTAAAGAAATCTGACATTGTTTGATAAGTCAAGTTTACATTTCTGGATGGTGTAAACATAAAAAGGTAGCTGTGGCCAATCTTGTAAATTGGGGGATGCTTTAGATTTTAAAGCAGCAAGGTTACTCTGTTCTTATGCTGAAGGACGCACAGATAAAGCAGTCATGGAAGACAATCATCCTCAACTGTGAGGGGTTGCCAGTGATGAAGTTAGTGAGAGAAGACCATGGCCCGGCATCCTATCTCTGAGCATTATTTGGTTTAAATACAGGGCATCTTTATTTCACTGCCAGCCTTTATTCCCACCCCCAACCTCCCAAGAGTAGAAAAGCTAAATGTTATGACAGTTCACAAATAGACTTCCAGGTTGGTTTGTTATCTA